TTGTATAAATATATATAAATATTTGACTCCCTGCTCTACACTATTTGTGATGGGTAGCTGTGGCAGTTCCTGGTACTCACATTTTTTGCTAATTAACTTTTGCAATGATGATTAATCTAAATATGATGCCTTCACTAAAGCCTTGACTTTTTCAAGAGCATAGGATACAGCAGCAGCAGTTATGTGACAATGTTTCCTAGTTGGTTAGGGGTATTGAGAGGTTTTTCTCTTACAAAGAAGAAAAACAGGTTACACAGTAATTTGGTACATCTGATGACAGATACCAGAAAAAAGCTGAGCCATGAGGGATATATCACGTTAAGTTTCAATGTGCAACTCAAAGGCCAATATTTCTCTGCAACTGAGGTGCTATACAGTTTCATATACATAATTACTATGACTTAGCTTAGACTTCATCCTGTTCGTTTTTGGATTTAAGAAATGTGAGCCAACCTCAGGTTCTTTAAGAACAACATAATGATGCTTTCCAGTGAGATGTCTTTGTAAACTTCTGTTTTCCAAATGGTTTTCCCTCGTAATGAAAAAAAAAATTTGTTTTGCAGAATCCTCCAATGCTACTTTATTGACCAATGCAGAAAAAATTGCTACAATTACAACCACACATACTCCTCAGCAAATACCACAGGAGACCAGGTCAGATTGTTTTCCTTGAGGAGAGCATGTTGACATGCTCTCTCTTTGGTTACTTCTTGACCATCTTCACATCCCATGAGCTGTATTTTCCCTTTCTCCCTCTTTCTCTCATTTGTTACAGCAGGAACAACACCAAACCAAAGCAGGAGTCCCAGTTTGATTTCAAACCACCCCAAGCACCACAGGTAAGGGGTACCTTTCTGATTGTTTTGTTTACCAGAGACTGTTGCTTCCAATCTGCTTGAGGGCTGTGTTCCAATATTTCCCTTGAAAATTCCTACTGGGAAGCTGTTCTCCTTCAGTCTGTTTGCTGAAGAAAGAGGAATTTGCTGATTAGTTTCTTAATATGTGTTGCTGTTGTTTCAGCTGAGAAACATTTCCAACACATTCTCATCAAGACTTTCAGGGAGAACAAAAAAAAAAGCTGACATTTTTATGACAGTAATAATTTGTGTGTTTGTTTATTGAATTGTATATTTTGAGGGGCCTCTCCAGAAAGTACTGTTGTGTGCAAATGATAAATTCAGAGGACAAAAAAGAGGAAAACTTTATAAGGGACAAATGCTGGAGTGTTCCAGCTTTCATAGACGACATCTTATTAGAGAGGTTATCTATCTCACTATTAACTTTCCTTGCCACTGGCCATCCCAGAAGTAACATCCTCCATTAGGGACTTCAGAACATCCCTACGCTAACGGCATTTCTGAAAAACAATGCCCATACTTCTGAGCTTCTTGCAAAGGAATAGATGAGGTAGTAACAAAAAGGAGAAGCCAGCACCATGGCATAGACTCGTCCCAGGTACCATTAGACACTTAACTAAAGCCTGGCACTGGAAGTGGGGTTGCCCTAGCCTTCCTTTGCGGTCGGTAGGATGCTAACCACCCTCCAGAAACGCGCCTTTCTGCCGTGGGCACAGGAGGTGTTGTATAACAGAGGTGCCTAAAAATACGTGGGACATGGCCAAGCCCATTCATCCAAACAGCCCTTTGCGGATCACCGCCGGCACTCCAAATTGCAGGGTGGGATCTGAGGAAGCAGGAAATCCTCGTCTGTGTGTGAAAACTCAACTGATTTTCTTTTTTGAATTATGAGTAACAAAAATAATAGTATTTCTTGGTTGAATAATTTAAAAATTAGAGTAGAGCAGCGTTTAACTTTCTGTTCAATTGCACATATGCTGTTTTCCCTCCAGCAGGACCAAGACTTTTACACTGTTGAGCTGGAAAGAGGAGCCAAAGGATTTGGCTTTAGCCTGCGAGGTGGCCGGGAGTATAATATGGATCTGTACGTGTTGCGGCTAGCTGAGGATGGTCCCGCTGAGAGATGTGGGAAGATGAGGGTATGCACAAACAGATTTAGAAAACACGCTTCTTTGCAATAAGCTGACTTTCCTGCCTCTCCCCTACAGGCACACCTTCTGCTGTGCCAGCTAAGAGGAAAATTAAATGTTAGCTAAAAGGAGCAGTGGTTCCTATTTACTGCTGTCAATGGCTTCTGTCACTGTTTGTATACAGTCTATAACAGTGTGTGTGCATTGGAAGATTTGTTCCAACCCAGGTTTCCAAATTCTAATACATAATCTGACTTTTAAAGCCTAACAAAGATATGTGTAGCAATGAAAATGTAATAGCCGCAACTTTTGCCAGCTCCTTTAAAGCTGGAGCCGTGAGTAGAGAATTGGGGTGTCACACCTGATCCTCTCCTCTGCTGGGGGGTAGAGTGATGAGGGAGGGTGTGTACCGACCCATGGATTGCAAAGTTATAGTGTAGATTTTGATTAGTACTAACTATTAAATTCACAAATCATCTAAATTATAAACATTGTATCAATGACGTGTTATAAAATGCCTACAGAAAAATTAAATTGCCGAGTTTTAGGTACTCCTTGCTCCTCTCTTAGAGAATGCATGATAACTTTACAGCATATGTCTTTTTCTTCTCCAGATATATCACGCGAAAGGCATTTTCAAAATTCTTTTGCTAGGGGTAGATTTATAGGTCCAAAATTTTTGCTGATGAAAATAAATCAGTGCTGCCCTGTGGGAGCCAATGCTTTGACAAGCTCTTCCAAGCCCTGTTTTCCTATCCTGATAAACGATTATATTTACTAAAGCAGGTTTACTGGTTCATAGTAGGTATCTGTATCCAAGTGAGAAACGGACCTGAAAAAGCTATTTGAAATCCCAGTTACAGCAGACTGTAAAACAAACAATGACTTTGACCAAAGACTTCAGAAATAATCAAAATAAAATAGAACAACACCAGTTCTAACACAGCTCTAGGTATTGAGCAATACAGTAATGCAAGGTGGTTTTATAGAACGGCAATGAAATATTTTGATACCTCAAGCTTTCCCTAGCGTCTTCACGTCTCCCAGGCCCCTGCATACTGTTTTTTGTGGACTGTCACTGGAAGCAGTTGGGCGTATTTAGGTTCACCTGGTGCATAGTTCTTCTTCCACCTTTGCTGTAGCCGTTGGCTTGTGGTGTGCTGGTGATGACCCTCATGAGAGCTTGTTTCTAATCTTAGACTCTTTTATTACATTGACAGATCGGTGATGAAATCTTAGAGATCAACGGAGAAACTACCAAGAACATGAAGCACGCTCGGGCCATCGAACTGATTAAAAACGGTGGCCGCAGGGTCCGCCTCTTTCTGAAACGTGGAGATGGCTCTGTCCCAGAATATGGTGGGTCAAACTATGAAAACATTCCTTTCTTCCCTGGCATCACTCCATGAATGATTTGTCTCAAGATCTGAAGCGGGAATTCTTTTTTATTTTCCTTTCTCACCAGTGTCTTACCAACCTTTGCAACATATGGTTAATTGCCTCGCTTGTGCTGAATTTTCTACACATTTCAGCCTTTGCTTGCTTCCATGGACTTGGGGCACAGTGTAAGGCAAGATCGTCATAGCAGTATTTTTGGTGATCAGAGAGGAAAACAAAACAAAACAAAACAAAAAAACCCTTACTGTCTTGTCCAGCCAAACAAGGAATGTCATTGAACTGTGCCAAACTGTTTCTCAGCGGCTGAATTGTTGTTTCAAATAGGTCTCTACTTCTAATCAATGCAAAAACTGGGATCCTCAGTTATTATTCTGAAGCAATGATTTTTTTTGTTAGGTTTTCTCTTAGTTCCTGTCTGTATCCATAGACATGAATGAAAAAACGAGATGGCTTATGAGATTTTTGCCTTCCCTTAATATTTATGTAAATATTTATAGTTATTTAAGAAAAATAATTTAAAAAAAAGCTTTACTGCAAAAATATATTGATTTGGCCTCCTGAGCCCTTTTCTCCCCCCAGCCTGCTGGTTTCAACTAGTTAATTTGTAAGGTCTGAAAAGGTGAGGAGGTTACGAAAAGGTGCTCTCGTGTCTGTCTTGGGGGAAACATTCAGTCCTCGTTTCTTACTAAGAATTGCATTAGATTTCCTTTTCTTCCCCCAGAGGTTGGATTGCTGGGTGGCTTAACTTAGCACACTATTTAATATTATAATTATGTCTTATTTATTTGAGATAATTGTCAAATATTGTGCCCTCGATGGAGGGCTAGTCCCAACCAAAGGTCTTTGAGGTTTCTATAGAAACTGATGATTGAAGGGATGTCCTTTATACTTTTCTCCCCGTATTTGGGTTATTTCTGTGTCAGTAAGTTCTGTGTTTATCATTCACTCCATGTCCTAAAACCAGAAACAAAATCCTTCTGCACAATTTATGAACTAGATTTTCTTCTCATTTACTGTACCACGTTTGAGAGTTTCTGCTCACTCTGCTGATTATTTAACTTAAAATGACCAATTCAGAGTATAACCAACAAACAATGGAAGTGTTTAATATGGAAGGGAAGTTGTGGGTTTACACTTCTGTAATATAAATAGCACACCAGAAGGTTCAATGATGGCACTGAAATTCTGTAATGTTCTTTCTACTTTTGTCTTTTCCTATACTCCTTTGGATGTACAGTACTGTATCATATGCTAGACTGCATAAATACCCTGTAAATTAAGTGCTTCACTTCTCAAAGCATATGTCTGTTGCACTGAAGGTGGAAATCCACCACCAGTTTTCTTTTGGCTAATGCTAAACCACTAAACGTTCATTCTCCAAGCAAGGATTTAATATACAGGGGTTGCACTACTGTAAAGAATATCCTTGTAACATTTGAGACTCCTTCCTCTCTTTGTTCTGTTCGCTGCAGTCGCAAATGGTTCCTCTAATAATGTTAAGTTCCAATATTTTTCTGACTCGATTGGAACGTGCTTCTCTATGAGGCTGTATATTTTTGTAATGAGTTTTGTACTTATTTTTAATGTTGTGGTCTCTGGTGGACTTTATTTTTCGTTGTTGTTTGATTGTTAATGTTTTTTCTATGACATTCTGTGTCACTGTTCCAACTGTCTTTTAGAATGGATGCTCTCGTTGTCTGGGTTATTGAATCACCTCTTAGATGTCTCTTTATGTCACGATAATAACAACTGCTGTCTTTGCAGCCTTATATTTGGGTGAAGCCTAGACAATCTGACTGGAAAAATAAACTTTCTTTATTCTAAGATAAAATATGAAGATTTTTCTTTCTTTCATCTTTATTATAGGGAATCTAAATTTTCTACTTTTCTCTTTCTCTTTCTCTTACTTTTCTTGGTGCTGGGCTCTTCCTTCCTCAGCGATGATACCTCCTAATATCGCTGCATGTATGAGAAATGACAAGCTCGGGGAGTCTTGCTTCTACCTTATGGGCCATAATCAAACTACGGTTTGTAGCTAAAATCAATATTAGGTGTTTTTGTGCTGTGGCCTAATTCCCTCACATTGCTTTCCGCTTCGCTATATTTTATATGTACAGCAATTCATTCCGAGCACCCTGCGTCCCCTGAATTGTAAGTACACCACAGGACACGTTTAAACCTCACTTGTACCTTGTGCGATAGCCAGGTTGCCGCAAGCCACGTGCTTACAGCTACGGAAAAGCGGTGTGGTCCCCAGCTGCTGCCTGAAAATGCTAATAAGCAAAAATGCACACACGTGAGTCGCAACACGGGTTTCACCTGGAAATCACAAAAATCATGGCCCACGCACACACCGACCTTCCCAAGCTAAGGAATGGAAATGCCATCAAATGGGAGACGCTTTGCGTGATGGCAGGAGGAACGAGCATGTAGAGTGTTTGGCTTGGGGGAGGGAAGTCAAAAAGGAAAAAAACAGAAAAAAAATCTGTCCCCACAAGTGTTTGCGAGGGTTTTCAGTCATTGCCATCAGGACAGTCCACCTCGAGGTGGGTGTCTCGGTGCGAGCGGCAGGAAGCCTGCAGGAAGCGTAGCTAACGCCAGCCGAGCTGCCGTGCAGAAGTTAAGTTTAAAAAAGAAAACAATAAGCAAATAAAAGCAACGCTCGCATTAAGTCAGCACAGCTACTTTTGTGTTTGCCATGTCTCTAATGAATCATTCATAAACATCCGTTAGAAATGACGTCAGTAATTGTAGCTTAGCTACAGGGCAGGGCTGGTTTTTAGTTTTGGGGTGGTTGTTTTTGTTCTGCTTTGCAGTTTGTCTCGCAGAGGTAGCTGAGCTGTATTTTACCTGAAATAGTACATTAAGAATAATGAATCGGAGATTAGGTTTTAATCAAAGCCATTCTACATATTACAATATCTTTCCATTGCTTTGATATGAAAAAATCATAACTTCTGTCATCGTTGTTTGAATCATTGTGGCAAAACCAAAATCTACCCTAGGACTTTTCATAACATGGTAGAACTAAGTGAGATTAAGTAATGTCTTAAATGAAATGGAAATTGCATGATTACAGTCTAATTCTCACACCTTCAAAATGTTATTTTATGAGGTGAAAACTTAATAATCAATTCTATTTTCTGTACATTTTCCGCTATTTGAAACAAGGCCTCCCACACCTGGGGGGCAGTTCTTTCTAAAGACTTAAAAGAAAAATATCATTTCCTAAAGGCCCTCTGTATTGGAAACTGTTAAAAAAACAGCCAACAACCCAAACTACAATTTTTTTTTTTTTCCACTGGAAAGAGAGTAGTGTAACCGAAACATTATGAATTGGGCTTGGGGAAAATGTAAAATGCCCCATGACAAGAAGAGCATAAAGATGATATCGGCTTGGACCAAAACACGGCTAACAAACAGAGCAGCACCAGTACTAACCTGTAACTCTCGTTGTTCGCAGTTAAATTAACAAAAGCTTTGGTTAGCCTTCGCTGACTGCTTTAACAGTTGTTTGTTTTTGTCACTAATGAAGTCTGAAGAGTGATAAGTGGTGTCACGCCGCCGCGGAAGGCATCGGTACCAAACGCTTTGCTGTTATTTTCTTTCAGACCCCAGCAGTGACAGGAACAGTCCCGCCACAGGTTCACAAAATGTATCGGAAATGAAACCCGTGCCATCCGACCGACGGCAGCACCCATCATCGGAGTCCAGATATCCACCAGACCTTCACAAATCATCACAACATGGGGACAAGCGGACTTACGTTAGAGACCTAAAAGGCAGCAGAGAGTTTAGCAGACATCCCAACGAACACCACACTTGGAATGGGACTTCTAAAACCAACGACCACGTGCCAGGCAGGAGGACGGAGAGGTCGCCGGAGAGGAGGCACGAGAGGCAGCCGGAGAGGGCGGTGGTGAATGGGCAGAAGAGGAGGTCTCCCGAAAAGCGGAGGGAAGGGACAAGGAGCGCTGACAACACTTTGGAGAGGCGGGAGCGGGACGAGAGGGGGGAGAGAGGCGCGGAGAGCGGGCGCCCACCCGCCGGCGGCGGTCGCTGGAGAGACTCACGGAGCCGAGGAGGTCACCCGATCGGAGAAGAGAGAGCTCCCTCGACCGGCGGGCCAAGTCGTCTGACCGGCGGAGGGAGAGGTCGCCCGACAGACGGCTCAGGGAGGAGCGAGTCGGCCACCGGGAGAGGGAAGACCCCGGCTGGAAGCACGAGCCGAGCCGCAGGCACCCACCTGAGCAGCGCAGGCGGCCGTACAAGGAGTGCAGCACCGACCTCAGCATCTGAGGGGCTCCTCCGGGGTCCCCGTCGCCTTCCCCACACCACGGGAGCGGAGGAGAGAGTGCGGGAGCTGAAACCATCCAGCTTTCGCAGGCGAGGAGATAGCCGGCACCTGCTGATCCTACAAACCTTTTATGCCGATGAAATCTTATAACAAAAAAAAAAAAGTGTTGTGCCTGATGTATAATATTAAAGAAAGTATTTTTCAGTGTATTCTTTTTTTTTTTAATTACTTGCCAAATGTTGGTCCTAAAGGATTATAAAATTTTGTTTCTACATTCTTTGTAGATTTCTTAAGAATAATTCCTTTATTGGGCTACTTCCCCCCCTCCCCAATATAGTAAATGGGGGTAGCCAGTAATATAATATAGGCAAAGGATTTTATGACCAAGTTTGAATAATTTGATCCAGACTGTTCTCTAGTGACTCACTGCTACACTGTATGTAGAAAATTTTTTAAGGGTTGGGGGTGGGGAAGGAAGAAAATTGTTCATCTCAGTAGGAAT